GTTGAGGTCCATCCATCTTGGTTTAAGTCCATCTTGCATTGCATATGCCATATAGTCTGTGTCGTTGTATGATTGACCATTGAATTGCGTATGCCTTGATCATCTCATTGATAGTCTTCAAGTGCCAAACATGGACTGCTTTGCCAGATACAGAGTCGCCACCTAAATTTTTTATTTTGGGAAATTTAGGAAACCCTGACTCGTTTGCCTAAGGCCACGTGTCCGTCATCACCAAAGTTGCCTTGGCTCGGGAACTTGGGTACGATTGGGGAAGGTCACTTCGTGAGCACCCCCGCTCGCCCGATCAAAGATCGGCCTCTACTAACCATGATATCTATTTTTGAAAACTTTGTGTATCCTTATTCCGGTTATTAGCCTAGGTTACTATGTGATGCACGCAACATATAAGTACAGACTGGGTCGCCCGAATTGGAACAAAACATTTCATGCTTGTTTATTTGAAAGATGATTTGCTACTCGTAAGTAGGCTTAAAATGCAGATTTTGCCACCCGCAGGTGGGCTTAGAAAAGATGGTTTTGCCACTATCTAGTGGGCTTAAAACAAACAGTTGATGATTTATTCCAATCCAAGTAACCCAACCTTCACCCACAGGCATTCAGGCAGTTATATCACATAAGCAATTAGCCTCATGGTAAGCATGCTATTCATGGCAGTCACTCACACGCATGCAAGGATGTTAAAGCATAAAAACTTATCGAGTACTCCAAGCCAAAACAAAAACTCATTAGAATTTATGCATGAATCCTAAGTATACAGAAATGCCTAATGCAACACATGCAAAAATGCAAACTATAGCAGGCTCGGCTATTCTAAACATGACATATGAAATGCTACAATTAACATGTATTCAGCTTGGAATTGAAAATACAATGCAGTTAGTATGATGCGCCGAGCCCGGTGCATGCAAAACAGATGAATGATGCAAACATGCTGTCATACTGTATGCTAATTGAAATATGCCCTAATCTAACCATCATAAGCAGATAAATAAAAGGGAAGAAAGACGTGGGGTTGGAAGACATACATCACACTCACGCACACTTATTACAACATTGCCCTCGCGCAGAGGGTCCGAATAAATATACAGTCCCGAATGAAAGAATATTACAGCCCTAATAATACAGTCGAAATAATGTACAAATTCCTAATTAATTAACAAATTAACTAAGAAAGCTGTAAAACTGGCGTGCAAGCCAGGGGCTGCCTTGTTTCTGATGAATGATGTATGTTTAGGTTGCCTTGCGCGGAAATCCACTGGGATGCCCCAATTAGCCTCTGTTTGCACCTGTTCTTGAAATGCGTGCCAAGCCTCGGAAGACCACTAATTCTTGATTTGCTGCAACAGAGAGCAGGAAAGGGGCATAGCAATGTATTTTCACAAATGTATGCATGCCTTGATCCTCGTGCCACCAATCACGCACCTCGATGCATGATGGCCGAGGAGTCGAATTGCACAACTCAATATGAAATGAATGCACATGAAAACAAAGTAAAAACCTAACTCCATCACGGATAATCCGGAGTGTCGGTGATTGGGGAATTGAGACACGTTCCGTCACTCAGAGTATGGAATGCACCTCGTTTCCCGTGCTCGGGCTAACTCCTATCCCGAACACGATGCAATATGCATGACATGCATGAAATGCAACTAAGATACAATCCTAACATACACAATGTTATGGAATGGCATACACGCTGCACGAGGTAATACACAACCGAGCATGCACAATGCTATGGATGAAATGGCATACGCAATGCAATAATGGGTTTACACCAACATGAGAGAGCCTCAGCCACACTCACATAGGAGGCCATTAGATGAAAACAAGACAACTCGAAATGCGTACACGCGTGCACGCAAACCGAGGACCGACCCTCAGGCACCGAAATGCCACTCTAATGAGACATGGCAAAGACATGGAATATGGCACACTATAATGCAAAAATCAGAGGTAAAATGAGATGCAAAACAGCCCCGAAACCCGGTGAAATGAAACCCGATGCATGGAACGAGCCCCGAAACATGGATTTTGGCGCATGAAATGGCCTATAGCTATGAAATGGATGCATAATTTGAACATGAGATGAAAAGAAAGAAGTAAGGCAGCCCCTAGATAAGCATTTTTACAGTTCAAAGCATGGCCAAAAAGCAAACACAAATAGGGAAAAAATAGCGTGCAAAAAAGGCCCTAAATGTGAGATAATGAAGCAAGTGGTAGATGCAAAGCCCAAACAGAAAAAGGCTCTTCTACAACACTGAAGAGGGACAAAAAATATGACTACTTACAGTATATGGAAACCCCCAAAACAATATACAAGTATGCTCAACATGCTATGCAAGGTAGGGCCCAAAAGAGGTCAAAACACAAAGTATACAAAAAATTCATCAAACAGCCAAAGACCCTTAATGAAACATGAAGAATGGGTCAAAATAAGATGTTTTAAGTTCTGTACAAAGACCAAAAATAGAAGCATAATGGGCTGATAAATCATGCAAAAATGGGGACCAAAGAGGGATATAATGACAAGTGGCACATGGAGGTCCCAAACAGTGATGAGCCCTTCTTCGATATTGAAGAAGGGC